GAAAAAAGAGAAGTCTCTCTCGTGGCCCAGAGCAGGCAGGGCAGGCTTCTCAGATGTGATGGCAAAGCTAAATCCAGAAGAAAGACTAGGAATTACCATGGTAACAGGAAGGGGCAGGAATGGGGGCAGAGTTGGGAGAAAAAGGAAGACTTGCTCAAGCAGGGGAGCAGCATGTCAAAATCATAGACAAGGACTGTTAGAGGAGCTCCAGATGGTTGACTATGATTGGAAGAGAGATTTGGGGCAGAGTAAGAAGCATAGTGGAGAGGGAGGCACGAGTCAGACCACAGGAACTCTATGAGCCCCTTACAGAGATTCTGACTTAACGCTCAGGGCAAAGGTAAGCTGGGTGGAAACCGAGATCAAAAGAGATATGCTCTTTCCTTATGTCCTTGCTGGCCCAGTGGGATTAAACATAGTTCCCAACCAAAGGTGCACATCAGTCAGCTAGAGTGATCAAATCACTCCAGACTCCCTGACTCAGAATCTCCAGCTCATGCATATATATTCTTTATAGTTCCAAGGGCCACTGTGATGCCCACTTCTGGCTGAGAAATACCAGAATGAAAGAAGGGGAGCTGCGTGGAGTTCTAGTGTGGTTGTCTTGGCTCAAGGACGTGATGGCATGGAAAGTCTTGAGATGAATTCTAGGCGAGGCACGGGATGTGCTGATGGAGACTGCCCACCTGTGGGAGGTTGTGAACAAGCCCACCAGTGGACGATGAACTCACCTGCGTGTCCTGGAGCCACAACGACTGGAAGCTGGCAGGGTTTAGCTTCTTGCTGCTGCCCCCTGTCTTGACCACCTGCTGTCCCACAAAACCAGAGACCAAATGGTGAAACTTCCTCACAGATGGCCCTTCTGGCATCCCTGTTGGTAGAAATGGGGAAAAGAGGCCACTGACTTAGCTGGTTTCCCTCTATCATTTCAGATGGGTGCCGAGCTCCAAGCTTTCAAGCAGCTATTTTTTTACCATCAATTTGAACAGCATATATGGCCATAAAATGGACTGTGGTGAAGTGGGGTCAGATCAAAGAGAGGTACCAGCTGTGCCAGCTTCCCAGGAATGGTTTCCCCTCCCAGTCCCTCACCCTTCTTTATGCAGCAAACACTTATAAGCATCAGCAGTGTGCTAGGCATCGCCTCACAGGCAGAAGCCCTCCACTTAGATACTGCAGCAGCTTGAACTGGAGCGGGTCCTTGTTACTTTTTGCCTGGACTGTAGCCCCTAACTCATCTCCACTTTCTCTGTCCTCCTCCTTCTGCCCCCTCCGCCCCCAAGCAATTGTTCCAATCTACTATTACTGATTTATTTCCTTTTTTTTTAGCTGAGCTATCCTGCCACCTGTTGGCAGCTCAGCGGCAGCTCAGCTTGGGCCGAGAATC